ATAACATCTTCATCAGTTCATCTATTTTTCATAATAGTGTAGCCACTTATTTTTTCCCCCACATTTTTGTATGTTGCTAATCATATACGTGTCATATGGGTGTTTTTATATTAGTATAGTGTAAATATTTACTTTAAAAAATAATATTCACCTGCTTTTTGTGCTCTTATTCTGTCTCTGGTTATAGACTCTTATTCTCTCACTCATAATTATAAATGATATAATCCGATCAATTAAACAATGTTTTAACACACTGTCCCTTTAAGTATCTTTATTTAGTTAGCTGCTTTTTATAACTAAATATTTAAATGGATACTCCACTTTTTTGGAATTTTACAACTCCCCCAGAGTTAAAATGTTGAGTTTTACCATTTTTGAATCCATTCAGCCGATCTCCGGTTCTTCACTTTTAGCATAGCTTAGCATACATCATTGTAGACCATTAGCAGTTCTCAAAAAAAGAAAAAAAAAACTCTTCTGTAGTTACATTGTGCACTAAGACCGACGGAAAAAGTAAAGTTGCGATTTTCTAGGCTGATATGGCTACTCTCATTTCTGCGTAATAATCAAGAATCTTACTGCCGTACCACGAGTGCAACCGGTGTAATGATATGACGCAGCGCCTAAAAATAGGCTAATACCAAGCTGGGGACTATTTTCAGGTGCTGCGTCATATCATTACACCTACTGTAAGTTTTAAATAGGAAAAATATCTAAACTCTTTGGTCCTTTTTTTTTTGCTTGTTTTTGAGAAATGCTAATGGTCTTGTCCACTTCAATGATGTATGCTAAGCTATGCTAAAATTGGCACCGCTAGAACCGGAGATCGGCTGAATAGATTCAAAAACTCAACAGTTTTAACTCTGGGGGAGTTGTAAAATGAGCGTATTTCCAAAAAAAAAGTGGGGTATCCCTTTAAAGTGACTTGACTTTAAATGAACTACTTTACATTTTCTTGGCAAACAACAATTTTAAGGTATCTTCCCCACCACTATTAAAGGTACACAGACAAATAATAATTAACAACAGCATTTAAGTATTATTTTGTTTCGCAACATCATCACAACAAGCAGCAGCGTTGTTTTCTTTCTGGTTATTTTCTTGAAGTGAAAACCTTAGGTGAAGCACACTTTTTGGAATTTCTTGAACTGATCAAATAGTATGCATGCATTGGTTATTAAAAAGACAGATATCCCAAACAAACAGGGAATAGACTATAAAAAGTACTTGCCTTGACTTTTAACAGTAACATGCAACCAATTGTTTTTTACTTACAATGGCTTTTTATTCGTTTGATTTAACCTTGGTTTTGTGGTCCACTGGTGCACTGAACGCATGCTGGCTGCCTTAAGCCTGTGGATCATTTCAGATGTGAGGGGGGAAAATCTGGATCGTCATGAGGAGTTTACCTGCTGCCTACTGGTCGGCCAGGACACTCTTGAAAACGAGATGAGCTCATCTCAAGAGGGGCTCCTGGTCAAATAATTTTTAAATAAAGATAGATACATCAATTGTACAACATGTCATATCTGGTTGATTTCTTTTTTTGTCAAATTCTTTTGCTTAGGACGAGACAAGCATTTGCAGTCCAAAAAACAGTACATGGAGCACCAATCATGTCACGGTCCGTATTTTTCCCTTGTATGAGACAAGACCCCTTGTTTTAGTTGGACTAATGTCAAATCAAAAGTGCTGGCAACTTGCAGTGACAATATGGTTCAAGCCCGTTCTCCACATGAAAGGACAAATGCACGTCTTGGCTTTGTTTACACCGGTCATCTCGAGTTATGACTGACGTTTAAAGGGTGAAAACGTCAACGCCACAAACAGAGATGGGTGCATATAGAATCCTGGTTTGGAATTCAGACAGTGTAATGCATACTGTCGAATTGGGGGTTCATTTCGTTTGATTTGATTGGCCTGATCGCATCAATTCTTATCTGTTATTGATTAGTTGTGACGTGCATGTCACAATAGTGTGGGCATATTGATCCAATCCAATCCAATCCAATCCAACTTTTTGTGCAAGGCAAGTCAATAGCATCATGCCAGAATTTAGTACATAAATGTACAAATTAAAACAACTGAACTAAACTCCTTTTTCTGGATGCAGGCAAGCAGGTACTAAAATGTATCAATAACCATGTAATGGAACTTAAAAAGGGATATTCTGTTTTATATTTCTAGTGTTTTGTTTCATGCACTCGAGTTGTGAAATTATGCTGGGCTTCATGCTATATTAGTATACGTCATAACCATTTCATATGCTTAAAGGAGAAACATTTACTTTGAGTTTTCAGGTCACATCTTAAATTATCTTCTGGTTTTATCTTATGAACTGTGAAATCAAAAAATGCAAAAAGAAAGAAACAAGACATTTTTAATACTGCTGTATTCAATAATCAGATCAACCCCTTATTAAAAGACTTGTTGTAGTATGTATTTTTAGTGATGTGACTGAATTTAAGATGCATTTGTGCTTCACTTCAAATCTGGTCTGTCACAAACTAGTTAAACATTGTTATTGTGTAAAAGATTCATGAAGATGTTGGGTGAAAAGTAACAAGGCTCATGCTCAAGACCCTATTTTAAACTCTAGTGACAGAATTCAATTGAATAGCCCAAAAAAGGTCATACACCAAACCCATTGAATGGTGCAGAACATCAAACTGATGTTCTACGAATGTTCAGAATGCATTAGCTCTCATTTGAATTCCACACAATTCAAATTGATGATGGACGGTGGCCTGTATCTCAACAATGAGACAAAGACTAAAATATGCAGCCTTACAGAACCTGGCGTTGTCTTAAAACAGCTTGAATAAAATCCTTTTTTTTTTCATTGTTCCTTTGAAACTGGTTGAAAGAAAGATCCTTCTATTCAGTATTTCTATGAAGTGTAAGTGTGAGTGACAATGGATTTGTGTTTAGTGGAGAAATCTTAAAGTGCATCAAGCCAACTGTTTTTTAAAAAAAGTACATTACGTGTATAAAATCTGAGACTATAGTAGCATAGTACAAAAACAATGCCACTTTTATGATGTTTTCATGGAGAAGAACATTCAGTAATAAATGTGTTGTAGTGAAAAATGAGGTGGGTGTAAGGTTTTGCTGATTTTCTTTAAATGTGATATTTTAGATGTTAAAGGTGCAGTGTGTATTTTTTAGCGACATCTAGAGGTTTGGTTGCGAGTTGCACTAATGGCTCAGCCCACTGCTCACCCCTCCCTTTTGAAGAAGCTACGGTGGCTAAAATATAAATAAAATGAATATAAATAAAATATATTTGGCATGGTGGCACCTTTCCGTATGAGCGTAAAGGTGCGCACGGCAAAAAATGACGTGATTGTAACAGCGCGCATGCCTCTGCATCCCATAAAAATATAGGGGTTTTTTTCACTGGTTTTGTCAACTCTTCGCGATCGACTTAAATGCTTACAAGATTGACTTGTCGACTGCGATCGACGGGTTGGTGACTCCTGTAACGTTAACGTTACTATTTTATGGTCAATAGTACTAATCAGCTGATTTTCAAAGCCATAACACAGCGAGGGAGAAGAATTAAGTTACATGAAACAATCCAACTACTTATTGTACACCACTGACAAGGGAAAAGTCACTACTCACGGTGTTTATGGCTAGCTTCTAGCTCTTTGAAGGTATGAACGAAACGCGCTCTGTAGCGATGTTTGTTCGCTGTCGGCTACGGTAGAAACATGAAGTCACAATATGTCGACCTTCATAGAAAGGGGGGCCCGCTTTATGTATAAATGTCTCATTTTAAATAAAAACATAACGGTTTATTAAGTAAGGTCTTTATACACCACTGAAAACATAGTTATGGATCTTATATTGCATTTGTGTCAATAGATCCTCAGAAATATTACACATTGCACCTTTAATGTTGTCATTTAATGAATGTTGAGGTGATTCATGCACAAATTAATAACACATTCGGAAAATAAACATTCGCTGCTTTGGAACAATATGTTTTGTGAACTGTTCAAATAAGTTGGGTAACACTTTATAATTCATAACTATTCATTAACATTAGCTAATGCATTGGGTATCATGAACATCCCCCTCCCCCCATACTGTATGTATCAACTAATTAATGTTAATTTATAAATATATAATTGTTCAGTGTTTAATTCATGTTCATTCAAATGACTTTAATGTTAATTTATGCAACTTTAAATGCTAAAAATGTATTGGTATGTACTGTAGAAATTACCAATAACCAAAATTAATAAATGCTGCAAAAGTACTGTCAGTGTTAGTTTATGATGCCCAATGCATAATCTAATGTTAAAAAATGTATCCTTATTATAAAGTTTGTGAACTTACCATAAATTGAATTATTATTATTTAAAAAAAAAAAAAAACATTTCTGTGTTTTGAGGAAGTAAATGAACAGAATAAAGTAAGCACTTTAAATGGGCAGGGACTACACTAACATGTGAAGAACTGGTCATAATTGATAGATAATTATTCAAGCCCTTGCCCTTTAGTGCACCAGCTCAAACTCCCTCTAGGGGGTGCTCTGCTGCTACCAGGGTCAAGGGAGGGGGCGGGGTGGTGCTCATACCCAGGTGTGCGGGGTGGGGGAGTGGAACGGAGGCTCATGCTGGTGAGGGTTTGCCTCCGTCCACCCTCCATGCGTCCATTTGGGGATGACATTGAACCAAAACCAGCGGGGCGTCCAGCCCCGGGCAGGACGGTTACATGCACTGTCTCTTACCGACAGACCACTCAGTTAAGACTAGCAAATAACATTTAGTTGCTATTAGTTACTTTTAACGGTTTATGAATATAATCCATACGAGACATTTGGACAAAGAAAAAAAAAGAGAAAATAAGGGAGCATATATACAAGTCATGCAACACAATGGTAGATGATTGAGGTGTGATGGACAGGACAGGACAAACGCGCAACAAACACACACAAGGTTCAGGCATTAAGCTAGAAGAGAAGGCGAGGGTTGGGTTTCTGGTCTTACCGATGCGGTCCAAGCGGTCGATAGCCACGGTTTCGAAAGCGCGGCGCATCATGGGATATTCCTCTAGGACTTCGTTGAAATGGTCCACAGACAGCGAGAAAAGTCTGCAGTAAGTGTCCGCGCGGACGCTAGCTGTACGACGACCTTTCGTCAGCAGGCAGATCTCTGTGGGAAATAGATTAATTCAACATGTTACATATTTTATAAAATGGAGGTCACTAGTTGGACAAGGGAGCCAGCTGAGCACGGCTACATGGATTAGCAGAAGAGCTAACCTTGAGTAAAAGAAAAGGTTAGCATATAAACATAGTGGATTGACATGATGTATTCAGTTTAATATGTGGTGGGCAGTGCTTTTTATACACTTTAGAGACTTTACTTTTAAATCGCTAATTTGAATGCGAAAGTAAAACTCATGGCTGCATTGTATTATACAAACAAACAATCAAACATAATAACAACAATAAAAACAATTTGTTTGTATAATAATAACAATAACAACAAACATGAATAATTATAATAATATAGAATATATAGTAGTATATTTGTATAGTTTGTATTTATTTATTAATCACTATTATTATTATTATTATTATTATTATTATTATACAACCAGTAAATAAACTATTTATTTCATTATACAAACACATAAACAAAAGCAAACATACAAACACAATAATAATAATATATTTGTTTGTATAATAATAATAATAATAATAATAATAATAATAGCAAATTGAAATAAATGAATTGTATAGTATTTATAAATATGTATTAATCAAATATTATTATTCAAACAGTAAATCCATAAACAAAGCATAACATATTGGTATTTTTATTATACAAACAATCAAATCAATTATTATTATTATGTTTGTATGGTAATAATAATATTGTCTAATTTATTAATTTTATAGTATTTATATTATCTTTATTTACTATTATTACAATAAATAAACTATTTTTATTTATATTATTAAACAAACAAAAACACAATACCAAACAATATAATTAAAATTCACATGTATTAATATTATAGCATTTATATTTATAAATATATGCATTAATAATACAATAATATTATTTGTATTATTAAACAAACAATAAAATATTGTTGTTATATTATTATACCAAAAAAGACTCAAAATCAAACATAATAATACTCTTCTTGTTGTTAGTATTATTATGTAAATATTTTGTAAAATATTTGATTTAGGCTATATAAGTCAAAATATATGACTACTGTATATGTAGGCTATATATCAGGTTTGTATGTACGTATTTGTATTACAGACTTGCATACCTCATCATAGAAGCCTGTTTTCATTGAATACAATGCACACAGTCTCTCACAGAGAGATCTGTAATGAACCTTGTCAATACCAAGTCATCAATGACAGCGTAATCTTGTACACAATTCAGCTTAATCTGCCCTGAGGGGGGAACTCTTCAGTGCTTAGAGTAGATCTCATGCAAATGGCCCTGTCTTTCACCTTGAGATATGTATGAGTATTCGTTTATATGCAATTTCTGTCAGCTAGAGCTGGAGTAAATAACATATGACTTCTGATTCTTTGAATATATTTGCTGTAAATGTAGGACTGTACCTGCTGTGCTTCAAAATGACAGACTTTTTTAGCTGTTTTGTCCTGGACGGGAACAAATGCTGTAGAAAAAGTGTGTAGCCTGCGGAACGTGCTAACAACACTCTCCAGCTGGGAGTGGGAACAAGGCGTCGGAGTATTTTAATGGAAATGTGCCATCTCTCTGGCATCATGTGGTGCAGTATAAAGGTGATGGTGGCAAAAGTACTTTGCACTTGCTGTTCTATTTCTAATTGGTTAATTAGCCTCAAATGTCACTGTAATGTACATTTTCACAGCCCGATATCGTCGACCGAAAAGTCAAGATGGATGAAGAGACTTCTAAAGCTACAAAATGATGAAACATAATGAAATTTGGGATTCCGGTAGTAATTGTCTTACTATGCACGTCTGTGGCTGATTGCCAAGCGTGGATGAGTGCCTGAACAAGTTAGCGCCTAAGCTAGCATATGTGTGAAGGTGTCTCTCTCACCCTCACCAAAGAGCATCCAATCAACTTGCCCTCCTCTCGGGCCTCTGCAAATGGAAATGACACTTGACCTCAGAGCTTAGGATGTCCGTCGGTTTGGCATGTATCCCAGTTGTGAGCTAACAAATGGGAGTTTGCCTGATTTATCATGATCGAACGCCTCACCTTAACCGGCCCTCACCTCGCGGCACACTGCCAGAACTCCACTTTACATACAGTACGCGGATGCTTTAAACCACAGCACGCCTTTTAAAACACTAAATCAGTACCAAGATTTGGCAATTATTGACTCAAATACCTGCTATTCTGATTTCACCTGGCCAGTTTTTATTTTTATAATAATAATGCAATTAATAATAATGATAGTGATTTGTATTTGTTACATTTGTTTTATATAATATTATTAATAATATATACAAATGTTTGTTATTATAAAAAATAATTTATTATTATTATTTTGCTTTTATTTTAATAATAATATCACAAAACGTTTTTATTTGTATTAATTAATAATAATAATAAATATTAATATGAATAATAGATACAAATGTTTATTTATATTATTATTATTATTGAATACAAAAATAAATAAAATATGATTATAAAAAGTGTACTTATTTATTATAATTATTTTTTAAATAATAACAATAATAGAAAAAAATTTAATTGTAATTAATAATAATAATAATAATAATTTGTATTTAATTTTAATAATAATAATACATACTCATTTTTATTTTTCCATTTCTGTGTATTATTATTACTAATAATTATTAATAAAATAATAATAATAAATACAATACATTTCTTATATCATATTTTTGAGATTTTTCAGTAAATAATTTAAAAGGCAGTATTTTATTTTAGCAATTTTTAATCAGTCAATAAATTGCATTACTATGTATCTATCAGCATATCAGCTTTTTTCAGATTTCTCTATCAGCATTGGCCACTGCTGGTCGACATCTACACTAGACGCAGTTTGACTTAATGCCACTTATTAATAAGTGTGTAAGTTGGGTTGTCCTGCACATTTTTGACCGATCTCCGTTCAATTTAGGACCAAGGTCAATGTGTGTTCGTTTCTTATCAGAACGCAGTGAGGAGGAAGAGATTTTCTGACACCGCCAGCAGCTTTGACACACGTACGCACCCGTGTGCACACACACACACACACATGCCAGCAGCAATCCTGCTATGGGCCAAAATACCCGTAGCAGATGGTTTTCAACTGGAGCAGGTGGCTGGCATCACAGTGTACCCATGGTAGAGCAGGCACAACCTTCATGAATCGTGAAGGGAGATTATTTCATTTCGATTTTTGTTTCCACACTCGTACAGCTTAGGTAACACTGAAGAACATGTGACATCAAGGTCATTTTATGACATAATCTCTGAATTATAAAACTCTACGGATTTAGAAGGTGTTTAGAAGCTTGTGACTCGTCCGTTTCACTTCGGTCCATCAGCACGACATGCATTTGCACTGTATTCATTAGTGTTTAGGTTAGTAATTGCTGCAATTTTGTCCTAAACCCTGTGGCTGTTTGCAATGATTTTTCTACTATGTAAACATGCACCAGATGGAAGTCACTTGTGTAGCTTATTCGGCACCTTGTGTGGAGTTGAGTGAGATTGTAAGTTGTTTACAAGTTTGTGCCATCTGTTTGTGGGTTTTCAACTGACCTCCAAAGTAGGATCCGTCGGTGAGTTTCAGCTCTTTGTTGAATTTGGTAATGACGCTGGCCACTCCATGCTGTATGAAGTACATCTTTTTACCCACGGTTCCCTCGCGGATAATGTAATCGTTGGGCTGGAAGACCTCAAACTTTAGTTTACTCAGCATTCCCGTCACAAAGTTAGGGTCTGCGTTTGCAAACAGGGGCATAGTGGCCACCAACTTACGACAGTTGAAGTTCACAATTTCCTAAAGAAAACACAAATAACAAACATCAAAAGGTGAAAAAAAGCATAAGACAATCTTTGACATTTTCTTTTTTTGTAAAACATCATTAAAATGTGCAATATAACCAAAACTTTATTTATTTATGTAGTATTTTATGTTTTTGCTTTTTTAATATATTGTTGAAATGTGTTTCATTTATATATGAAAAGGGCGTACAGTTTTTTTCTAATCATAGTGTTGCTTAGATTTTAAATGCGCAATTTCCTGTGGGACAAAACAGAAACAAGACAGTTGACATATATATATATATATATATATATATATATATATTTCGTCAACTGTCTTGTTTATGTCAGTTGACGAAATATTATGTAGTTTTATAATACAATGTATTTGTATTTTATAAACAAGACAGTTGACATATATATATATATATATATATATATATATATATATATATATATCGTCAACTGTCTTGTTTATATATATATATATATATATATATATATGATTATTATTTATATCGGAAATTATGTTAAACTAAAAGTTGCTTGATATTATTGTCAGCAAAATCATAGAAACATATATTTAGTAGGGGTGGGCAATGCATTTATGACTTATTATTTTTTTTTGTAAAAGTTGTAATATAAACAAAAAAGTTTTTTTTTGCTTTAGTCATATTATTGTATTATTATTATTATTCAGTCCCTCCAGAAAAACGCGATTATGCGATCGCTGAATTCAATGCAAAATCAGCCAAAGTCCGCATATTTATGCGGGGGCCGCATTTTTTCAAATACGCCGCAGTTTCGCCGCATAAATTGACGATTTCCATGCAAAATATGCGGGGTTTGCATAATTTCATAATCCTCGCATTTTCGTTGCAAAAAAGTCACATGTATCTTAGCAGAAAGTTGAAAAATGTTGCGTTTGCTTCACACAAGAGCAGCCATTTCCCCCTGTTTCCATGGGAACGTTATGAAGTGACGCAATTACGCGACACCAGACAGACTCACGGAGGCGATTGACATCTCACAAATCGAACTCGTATAACTGTCTGTCGCACGTTCTACCGTCACATCGTTACTTAATAAACAGATAAAAGAAGTATTATCAATCAGAAATTACCCGCACACATGGGGTGTTCGAGGCGCACATATAACACTGCAGACAGTTCAACAGTAGCGCGCAGCTCTTAAAGGGGTCACACCTTATTTACACTCGTTATAGTCTGAAATAAAACAAGATGAGAAATTAAATATTCCCAGCGCTTTCTATAATGTAGTATGCTTGCTTATCAAAGGAAGTAATAAGAAATGACTCTTACATTAACAGGATGTTGGGGGAATCACTTTTTTTCTCTTTTTCATCAAACCGCAATTTTTGCAAGTTCCCTCAATTTTTGCAAATTCCTGCAATTTCATCGCATAAAATTGCATAAATATCCCGCATATTCCATCGCATTTTTAAAGAAAACGGGCCGCATAATCAATCAATTTTTGCCCACAACAATCACAAAAAAACTCCACGTTTTTCTGGAAGGACTGAATACTAGTATGGTAAATGTTAAATATAAATCGCAAATTTTTTCACAAATTTTTGGAAATTACCACCACAAAATCAGTCAATTTGATCGCAAAAATCACAAAAAAAAATCGTGAAATCCTGGAGGGACTGATTATTATAGCTTTTTTATTTTTGTTGCTGCTTTCTGACAATATTTAAAATGTATCTCAAAATTTATATCTGAAAGGGTGTAAAGTTTTTTATTATTATTTTTTAATCACAGTGTTGCTTAATTTTATATTCACAATATCTTATGGGATGAAACAGAACGACATAATTTAATTTAATTTTATTTTATTGGTAAAACGACCCAGAAAGTTGAAATCTAAACAAAAAAAAAAGGATTCATTTTTTTTTTATCGATATCTAAGATGGTTTTTAAAAGTTGAATGCATTATGACCTTTTTTGTGTGTTTTGGTTAAATTACTTTATTTATTTATTTATTTATTTGAATGTTTTGGCCTTCTGACAATATTTAATATGCATATCATTTATATCTGAAATTATGTTAAACTAAAAGTTGCTTGATATATTGTCAGCAAAATCATAGAAACATACTGTGCATATTTATTATTTAGTAGAGGTGGGCAATATGTAAGAGCAAAAATAACTTTTTAAAATGCATATTTCAAAGCTTTTATTCAGCAGCACTCCTCTGTGACTATCACCAGCCTCTATAGTCTCTCTTCCCACTGCATTGCAGTGATCTTATAGTACGGAAAGCTAATGCACATAATGTTCAGTCTCCATGCTGCCGGGCTGAAGGAAGTGTTTGTTTGCTGTGTGAGAAGGATAAATCTGCACTGTGCCTTAAATCGTGGCGTAGTCGTAAAAGCGATAGGAAAAGGTTCTGACCGCATTCACACAGGAGGAATAATGAGTTTGATGGCCACGTCCAACCCTTTACCTCCACTGGGGAGACAAGCTGGAGACTTTATCTATTTAAAGCTGGTTTGTCACAAGGCGGTGCATGTAAAAATAGCAGCCCTGACCAACTGAGGGAAAGAAAGAAAGAGAGAGATCGAGGCGGGTGCTGCCAGAGAGTTGAGGTGTTTTGGGGATGAAGCCGTCAGTGTTATCTCTCACTTTGCTGTGTCATAAAAGACACTCATTCTGCCTGCTAAATCATGATGACATGGGTGTTGCATTCTGGGTCATTTTTAGAAATTCCCATTTTCGGTATGCATAGGATATCTGAATGACCTACGACATCAGTCAATATGATTTATAAACTACTAATAACCTGGCATGACTTCTGATACAGATGAGTAAATCTGCCAGAGGCGGTTACTAGGGCTTAAAGAACTGTGTGTGGCATTGAAATAATTTGAAAGACCTGTGGTATCCAAGAACTAAGTTAAGATGTTTCTTTTCATATCCAAATGAAAAGGATTATGCGTCCAGACAGGGAGATAATCCTAGATCAGCACTTATTTTGTGAGACGCTTAGGTTCAGATGTACCCGCAGCTGCATTAGCTCTGACCCTGGATCAGCACTACTGTGACCTCTTGCTGTCTCACCTCTTTGAGTGGGTCGTTGAGCTCGTTAAGGATGCTGTCCTCGTCGAAGATCTTGCCTTGGTAGCGATGTTCGTAGTAATCGTGGATTTTCTGCCGCATGTCAGCTGGCAGCTTATGGAAGGACATGTACTGCTCCACTTGCTTGTACTGTGAGAGAGAGAAAGAGTTTTTAGTATAAAAAGAAGAAGAAGCTTGTCGAGACCTTTATATTTAAAATTAATCTCAATATTTAGATCTGAAATGGTGAGTTTAAAAAAAAAAATAGTCACAATGTTCATTTTATATTTACAATGTCACAAAACAGAAACAAGACATAGGTATAATGTAGTAAAATGACCCAGACAATCTAATATATATATATATATATATATATATATATATATATATATATATATTTCAGCAAGGATGAAACTATAAGGATGAAACCATGCCACTATATGCATGAAATTACATTAATACTCGTCAAAGAATTATAAAAAAAACACACAAATATTAAGCAGCACAATCGTTTTCTTCGAATGAAAAATGAATAACACTGCTTAATGCACTGATCATTTATCCCACAATGCACTGCTCTTTGAATGATTTCTGAAATATCATGTGACACTGAAGACTGGACTACTGATGCGAAAATGTCAGCTTTGCATCACAGGAATAAATTACATTTTAAAATATATTGAAACAGAATTAGAACAGTTATTTTAAATAGTAATAATATTTGACAATATTGCTGTTTTTCAGTTTTTTTACTCAAACAAATGTATCTTTGGTGAGCATAAGAGGAAATCATTTAAAGGGGTGGTATAATGCCCCTTTTTACAAGATGTAAAATAAGTCTCTGATGTCCGAAGAGTGTGAATGTGAAGGTTGAGCTAAAAATACCCAACGCATTTTCATCCCAAGACGTCATATACTGACACTTTTGCCAAAGCATATACATCCAACGCACATGGCACCCTTTAGCGTCAATATAACACTCACAGAGTATGGGTAGGTTTAGGTCTGGGGTAGGGTTAGGGTTAGACCACGAGGAGGCGCCTTTTGGCCAATATATCTGCGTTTCATATTGACGCTAAAGGGTGCCATGTGTGTTTGATGTCTACGCATTGGCAAAAGCGTCAGTATATGACGCCTTGGGATGAGAACAGGCTCAAATACCCCACAGGTCAGTTTTTGTAGCATGTTAAAATTGTCCTTTTATGAGAGACATCAAAAATGTTTTGTGTGTGGCTCTTTAAATGGAAATGAGCTGCTGCTCCAACAGTTTGTTCTTAACAGAGCAATATAGAGCCCTTTGTTGCGAGGTGGGGTTTATGTAAATTTTAGGCAATCGTCATGTCATCGTGATCCTGGGAGGAATGTCGTGTAGTCCCTATCAGTCGTTTGTTGTAGTCCTTAAAAAGTGATTTCTATAAAAAAAATATCATAGAAATCATAATCAACTACCCCAAACTTTTCAAAAGTTGTAAATATCATTTAGAGGGGTATGTGAACTGGAAATGTCACTGGTTTACTTTTTATATTTCATTGTGTTGATGTTCACAGATTTGCAATCAAAAGTCAGAGATTTCAATACTGACATTCTCATCAAATTCTTCCAAAGCCAAATTATCTTGGCTATTATTATCTCAATTGTTTCTATTTTTATGTCCCCCCAAGGAATTAACTCCCCCCCCCCCCCCCTGTTGTGAAAATCAAGTTGTTTATATGTCTATGTTGTGTTTTTAATATGCTTTAAGACAAAACCATGTGTAAATTCATCATCGTCAACACCATTGCTGAGTATTTCCTCTTAAAAACTGCAGTGAACCAAAGACAGCCTCAAAAATGCGTTTTGAAATCGCTGACGTCACAAACTACCCTGTAACCAATCACGTCAGTGAGTGGAGGCGGGGCTTATTTGCATATTCATAGAACCACGTATAAAAGGCACTAAATAAGGCACAGTGTTACATTCAAGGAAAAAAAAAATCACTGGAAAAAACTTTTAAATATGAGTTTTAGGTGATAAATGATTATTGAGAAACTTTAAATGAAACAAACATGAGAACATTTACTTATGAAAGCAGCATCTGAGCAATGCTATGTCCCCCCGTGTAGGCGTTCGGTGAAATGATCTTTTTTTAATTCATGCATGATTTAATGATGAGCCATTTAGATGAATTCTGTGTAAACACATTCACACGCACAGAAAATTGTGCTGGGTCATTGGCTGTGGGCAGGTGGTGACAACACTTCCTGTCTGCCAACTAAGCTGATGACATCAGAGCAGGAATGTCTAATCCCAACACCTGCTCCCTTTCACCTGACTCTGGTTACACATAAATTCAATTATGCATGCATTCTGTACCTACACAGGCTACCCACTCCACACCGTCACAGGAAACGATAGCCTACCAAGACGGTCAATATCCACCCGAGAACAATCTATTTTAAAGTACATTGACTATATTAATAACAGCTCTCCTGTTCATGATTAATCAATACATGCGAGATATTTTATCTATCGTCTCTCTATGAATTGACTTTTACCTTAGTGTGAAGTGAGATTCATTAAGAAACTGTTAGACTAACAGGCTATGTTATTATGCAGCACAGTATTCTGATGGTAGACCGCATTGAAATGGCTTTGAATGACTAGGACAATTCAAGCAACAAGCAATTAGGCTAATGTTCCAAAACCTCCCCATCTCTCGCTCTACTGCAGCGGGGACACGGCTAGACGGGAAGTCTTTATCCGTGTGTCTCTTAGACTGAGGCCTTCAGAATTTCAGAGTTGATGTCTTCAGGCTGTGGGATGTTTTAAGACAGATAGCAGCCTATAGGGAGCTTTAGCTTGACCATGCTGATTTTAGACTATGTCCCTGAGGAGACTTTGGGTCTGAAATATAAAGGAAGCTGGTTGTATGTGCAGGCGCTAGTGCACACACACACACACACACACACACCTGCAAACTGTGTGTTTCAGCACAAAAACACGCATATTACTCACAATCCGGTTTAACGAATCTGATGAAACAGTGCTGTGCCTCGAGTATTTAAGCAGGAAATTATAGGGATTCACAATCTTTTAGTGTCGGTTAATGGCTAATGTTATAGCGCTAATTTGTTTTACCCTATTTTTATATTTGGTTATAAAAATAACACTGATGTAAGAGAAAATTAGCACAATGCTGACATCTTTAAAAGTGTTTTGTATATGTTTTATACAAATATTATAGTATTTTGAATTAGCTTTTAGTTTTATAGTTTAGATTTAAATTTTACTTTACGTTTTGGTAATTTTATGATGTGCTGTTGTCACATTTTTTTTTCCCCCTTCAAATATCATTAATTCATTTTTATTTCAGTTTTAGTAATTATGTACTTCTGCTTAAATGTACTATTTTTCCAGTTTGCTTTCAAGGCTGCATTTTCAAGTTTTTAAAGTTTATTCCTTATATCTATATTTTATTTCACTTAATTTCAATTACCAAAAACAATAGTTTGTTTTGGTAGAACACTGCGTGGAAACACTGTTAAATGTGATCTTTATCAAAAATCTCAAAATTAATATCGCCTTTAAAACTGTATTTGATGCTTAATTTCACTTGTGACATTTAAACAACTTAATTTGTATTTATTTTTATGGTGTAGAATTTTAATATTGACTATTTATTAGTTATTGACCACTACATGATAATTCTCAGCTTCTTGGTATCAGTCAGAATTTTTAAATTGGTGCATCCAGTCATTGATGATTATTTCCAATGTAAAATAAACTTATAATAGATGTCTTTTTCACCACAACTCCAAGCTATTTGGCTGTACTAGTTAACACAGTGTCATTATTTGCATAATTCAGGCAGTAGAATCAGATGCTAAAATAATGTGAAAATACGGTTTCAGAAACAATTAATTCTTATTCAATTCCCACATATATAGCTGTGTCCCAATTCAGAGGCTGCAGACTTCAAACGCCACACCTTTAACGCCCCGGGAAACGAAAGATGCATTAGTATACCGCATTCGAGGAATTGGGACAGCCTTTGCCACACCGCACTGACTCATTCTACCTTCACAATTAGTGATTTCTAAGCTGGAGAGGCTGAGCCAGTGCTGGATATTCAGAATATGAGTAACTGTGACCTGTGGTCAGTCAGTCGGTGTCAGTGTGAGTGCCGTGACCTTCTCTTCTAGAGATACAATGAGTCACTAGGCATCAGGGCAAAAGCAAACACACTGATGTGGACTTCCTTACAGAGATATTGTCCATGTATTTATTCGCACACACATAGTGTGCATGAGTACACAAACACCTAAGTCATCATTGTAGACTTACCGTAATAACTTGGGATAAGATACGAATGGGTTTTAGCATACACTGTATTTATATGCACATTGTAAAAATGTATATGATCAATACAGTACATTATCACAACATGTTTGTGCATTGCTTTAACTCACCAAAATAAGTTAAGAACATTTTTAACTTTGTTATATAATATTCAACTCATTTTCAAGTTAATGTAATTTAAGTTGAATTTTACTTGAACATCCAAGTTGATTACACTTTTTTTTTTTACAGTGTACTGCATGGCTCAATTTTATTTTAAACTTCTGTCAGTAACACTTAGTTTAGTTCCTGTCTCTACAAAGCCACTCTTTCGGAAGTGTGCTCTGATTGGTCGCTGGACCAGTGCGTTGTGATTGGTCAACCACAAGCGCGTTTCGTGAATGGCACACAGTTACACTGCAAGTTTCAACACACTTACTAACACAGGCCTCCACCTTTTTATCATATTTTTTGTTTATACCTTGGGCGGGAATTATTTAAATGAGGAAAATTGTGACATGTTCGTTCCCTGCAGAAAACTCAAGACTAAAATCGAGGTGGAGTTCAAAACTCATGTTAACTGATATGAAGAGTTCAGACGCAAAAGCCTCTAAATGCCATTTGAAATTTTCTTCTTTAATATTGATTTTTATCAAACTTGTATATTTAAGTTCAGTAATTTCACTTAAATAACAATTAATAGGTAATCTTCATTGCCATTTAAGTGAAATCACTGAACTTAAATATACAAGCTTGATAAAAATGATCATTCTAGAAGAAAATTTCAAATGGCACTTAGAGGCTTTTGCATCTGAACTCTTCATATAGACAA